GCCAAAACACCTTTAAATTCTAGACATTCATTTTTGCAACTGGATCACTCTTGTCAACTCCTGAATGGTGGATTCGTGGGGAACCTAAACTGTCTTTCTCTATCTCGTGCCCAAAAAGCAAGATTCCGTCTCAACCACAGCTGAAATTGGTTCGAGTGGCATAATAAGCACAAAGTGTTACGTAGGCCGATGCAGGCAGGGGCGTAGAAGGCCCACAGTCGTTCCTTGCTCTAGTGGTGGAGTATTGTCGGGCATGAGCACTATTGCCAATTGTGTTGGCGTGCAAATGCAGGCAGCTAATGAAACAAGCAGTCGGGAGACGTCACACAAACTGATGTGTCTTCGGATGTGTTTAGTGTTGAAGGTGGTAACCCCATAAAACCGGCTGGATATATGAATAGATCCGACTCACAATCAGGATGGTCATGAAGATATTGCTGTCTTTTTAAAGGGAACTAGGGTGACGAATTGTGAAAGACACATTAGCGTATCTCACACAACAGCTGTCGAGTGGTTATGCACTCTGTGGAAATGCATGCTCCGCAGCCCTCATGATGGAAATCAAACAGATCGGCGGACCGAGGATAGAAGTGCAAGCTGATGAAACCCTTATCAGCAGTATCGCCTATGGAACTAAAGGAAGCACGGGAAGTCTTTCCGTCTCCCGTGGCTGGGACACATCCAGTATAATGGAAAACCTTCACTGTAGAGGTGGACAATTCAGTACGTAATGTTCCTTATATAAAGCCATTGCAAGCTAACTATCCTATAATACCTAAGGTATTAGGACTTCTACAGAACGATTGTTTACCCTAAGGCAACGTCTGCAATGGACGGCCGAAGCTTCTCAGCTCTCTAAGCTAAGATCATGGTACGTAATGGTAAGGTGAATCAAAACGTCTGCGATGGAGAACGTACGCAATACGATCTCTTTTCTACTCTGAGTTAAGGTCATACTACATAATGGTAAACCGCATCGTGACGTCTGCGACGGTCGACCGAAAGGATATGATCGCTTCTCCACTCTCTGAGCTAAGCTCGAGTTAAGTGAATGCGGAGTGCAGGGTAGTATCCGCATCCGTCTCGATAACGGTAGGGAACCAAAGTGTTACCATCGCCTCTGGACGGTCCGAGCCAAGTTGAAGGCATGTTATAGCTGAGAGCAAGGTAGTGTCTGCACTAGTCTCGTTGCATGGGTCGTCCAATAAAAAAATAAGCATGCCCACTGAACAAGTGCAGTAGAAAGTTCTGTGTATGACAGTTCTTTTTGGTTCCTTCAAGCTATGGACGCCGCATTCTCCTCCATTGCTCATTTCAAGATCTCTAAAACGTTTGAAATACCGTTTTCGGAGTTTAGGACAGTTTCGGTTTGCGGAATGACTAATCATGTAATACGGCAATCGAATAAACACTGATTCAATAAATACAATTGGTGTGCATTCACGGCGAATTTTACTAGGATAAGTAGGAAATTTACGTACCTGTGAGAGAAAATTCTAAAGTTTCCTTGAGTGCAAAGGCAAACCGACGTTATGAAGCCGAGAAAACTCCGAGCGTCTTCCAGTAACGCAGATGTCTTTTTCGTTCACTTGCTTACGTCCACAGATTCCAACGGGCAACTAGTTACGATCTGAATTTTATACAGGCATAGGTCAGTGAGTAGTGGAAATGCCTGAATTCGAGGTCAAAGACCTGTCAAGTAACACTCACTGTCATGAAAAATCGTCCGAGTGTGAACTCGATTTTGACGTGAACGTGTTGCTTATATCTATTCTTATCGTTCCGATTCTATCCCAACGTCACTTTTCTCCAGACACTTGTATGGCTATGCCGAATGACGACATATCCTCATGGATAAGTAAGTGATTCCGAACGAACTGTCGCAACCTCGACGCACTTTCGTCAGAGTCAAGAAGAATGAACAAGGCAGCACAGGCAAGATCGGTCGCGACCTGACGAGTGAAATTATAGACAAGTAATTATTAGATGCGACTTTATGTCAGCAGTGACTCAAAGACTGCTTTACTTTTCTGAAAAGAGCGTAATACCTCACAGATCTCGGTATTGAAAACAGAATTAGATATTCAGTTTGTCCAAAAGACAATTCTAGAGCTTTTTTCGGCACACATTGAGTTCTGTAACAAACTTAACGCCAGATAATGTGTTGTCCTCACAATCGATAATAATTCGGCGGTAAGCTTATAATGCACTCTCATGTTAAATAAAAACCACTTTAGTGGGAGAAAACGGTAATGCCGTTGTTGGGACGTTTTAAGTGTACGGCTAGGCAGTTCGTTATAGAATGGTTTGCTTACGGCCTTAAAACCAAACTCTCACAACTTCAGGCCTCACAGAAGTAGGAATATTAGTTCCCCTGCGCAGAGGCGCCAGACTATCTTGCCTTTACCTACCTGTTCGCCATTCTTGAGCTTTCTGTTTGTTTATCTGAGTGGAAAAAACTCGGCTCAATGCGACGCGCGTGGCATGTGTTGGACTATCAGGCCGTTTGACATTTAATTATTAACCATTTCATAACTCCTGTCTTGGCATGGTATCCATAATCTGGGATGGGCGATCGTATTCTTTGCGTTTGCAACAGCGGTGATCCTTTCGACGTTCACGCTTACACCTTTAATCTGTTGACTTAGATTTGTTGCCTATAGTCCGCTCTCCTGGATTTTGTCTACTACCATGCCCTCTACGGATTCTAACGATGCCGCAACTTACCTCAGTGGAGTTTATTTTCCTTCACAGACTTCTGGCAACATGCGCCAGAACTTTATTTCTTCCGTATTGAGGCAAATTTTCACTCTGCAAAGGTAACACGAGAAACCGACCAGTATTATGAGTTGGTCGAGGCTCTTCCTCCTACCATTCTTTCCCAAATGCAGACATTTTCGCGCGATTCCCCGATTGATGCTCCCTATACGAAGCTAAAGGCTAAATCTTTTCGTCTGACCTCCGTCCCATGTCGTTAACGTTAGGTAATCGCAAGCCGTCGGAACTTCTGCGTCGCATGCGTTCTCTTGTTGGGAACATGGCCATTGAAGATAAGTTCTTTAAAGAGATGCTCTCAGAACGTCTGTTGCGGCAGGGTGGGCCGAGAGTGAGACCCTGGCCACTCCGACCTTCAGGCCGGTCCGAGCGGACAGAGAAGATGGACGCCAGTGGGAAAGATGCAGCAGTTTGGACAGAATAGCTGAAGGAACTGGAGGGAGTTGGCAGCCGGATGAGGGCATGTCCGGCGCCGGGTGGGCGGCGTCCCACGTGTCCGAAGCAATGCCTCACAGCGTCTTAAGCCAGGACACGTCTGAATCGGCCTTGACCCTGATTGGGCGGTTGGAGAGCCAAGTGGGCGAATGCCCGACAGGCCTGGTGCGCACGTGCAGGCAGGTGTAGCGGCCGAGTAGGGTTGTGTATGTGGAGGTTGGTATGTGTCAATCACCGACCCCTGGTGGCTTGGGCTCCGTCTGACGAGAAGACAGAGATCTTTCTTCTAAAAGTCGTGTGACGCTTTCATACACACTGGCGAAAGACAGGGGTGGGGTAGACATAGTGGTAAATAAACAAATTGGCTCTAAATGGTTTATTATCGAAATGTTACTGAAATGGGAAGTAAAATAAGCTCGGGTTGATCTACTCTAGCGATTGTAAGCGGTATATGCGAGAGATAGTTAAACGATAACGGAAATACGAATCGACTTGGTGAGTCGGTAAAACGTAATTGGCGAAATAAGGACGTCTAGGCATAGAATAAAAGGATAAGTGTAGTAGGTAATCAAATCTGGAAATGTAAAAGGTAAAAATGGGGTCTTAGCAGCAGCTGCGGCGGTAGGCGTCAGCTCGCGTCCACGTGACCACGATTTCTGAAAGTGGAGGGGAGGAACCAAAAAGGTCCGTTTTAAACAATCGGTCATTACACACTCGCGAGAGGCCCAGCGTTGAGTTAGGAGCTCGGAGTTGGGCCACCACACGTCTGTCGATATCAGTGCATATAATCTTGACCTCCGGCTCACATGATTTAGGTATCTGAAAACTAGAGCAAATGGCCGATCGCATGATGAAGGTGGATCGTTTGTCATTCACGACGATTGCTGAGGTTTCACAGCCTCTGACTGCGTCCACCTCTGACCTGGCTGAGTTCAAGAGATAGATTGCTCCGTTGTCGGCGACTGTTGCTGTTTTGCAGCTGCACTGATCTGCCGGCCCATCTCGAAGTTTCTTTAGCCATGACCGTCGTCGTTCCTGCTGTCATCCTAGGACCACAAGCCTCTGTTGGTGTCATGTAAACTTTGGCAATCAGGTGCGTCATTGTGTACAACTCCGCTACATCAAGTCCTCGCGGAGAAACTCCTCGGCTGGAGAGTAAATGCGGCCAAGCTCTCTGGCAACTCTACCGGTCGCGCATTTTACATCTGTGATAACACGAGTGGCAGACGTTTCTCGGTCGGCACCGACGCTCAAATTAGTGTTACCCCTCCTACCCCAGCCGACCGACGTTGCCCCAACCATGGTCTTTTTCTCCAGGCCGTAAATTCTTCCCCCATCGCGATCCCGATCCAGCTCCGTTGACATTGGTCTCAGGCGACTTTCCCCCTAAATCTTTGTGGTGGCCGACCTAAATTTGTTTATGCTTATGTTTACGATGTTCTAATCGCCAGTCGGGATGCTGATGAACATATTCAACACCTTACCCTACTTTTCGATTGATTTCAGCAGTTTGCGGTCACTCTGCATCCTGCTAAATGCGTCCTAGGAGCCTCATCTCTCGAGTTCTTAGGCCATCAGATCGACTCCAACGGCATTCAGGACATTCCACATCCTAACTCGAAACGTCAGCTGCAACGGCTTCTCCGTCTGGTGAACTTTTATCGCCTGTCTCCCCCGAACTGTGCCGACACCATCCTCGCTCTCGCAGGTTTTAAACGCACCTTCGAACTTACACCGGCAGCACTCACGCTATATGAGCAGTTAAAACCCTTCTGGTTGATTCCACCCTCATGACTCACTTTCATGCTGATGCACCCACGAAGGTTGATGCCTCCAATGTTGCTGTTGGCGCCGTTCTCCAACAACGTCTGCCAGATTCTACCGTGCGTTTGGCCTTTTTCTCCAGGAAATTTCCCAGGGTTGAAACCCGCTACAGCACATTCGGGCGTGGACCTCTTGCCGTGAGGCACTTTTGGCATTTACTGGAAGGTCGAGAGTCCCTAATTTTCGCAGATCATAAGCCACTCACCTTTTCTCTGTATTCCTACTCTGACAAACTAAATCCCTAGGAGATCCACCTGGACTACATTTCGCAGTTCACTTCAAACATCCGTTACATTGACGGGTCACGGAATGAGGTAGCTGACGCACTGTCCAGGCCTTCTATCGCTCATCTCCAGCTTTCACCCGGGATCGACCTCGCTGAGATGGCCGCTGAACAACTCCGTGTCAGTTCACCCTGTAATGAGGATGTTTCCGGACTCCAAGTTCAGCAGCTACCACTGAGAACTGGCAACGACATCATTTTATGCTACGTACCCACCCCTTTCCATCGTCCATTTATGCCACCATCCCTTCGCCGCAAAGTTTTCTCCTCCTCCTTGCACAATCTGTCTCACCCTAAGAGTCGAGCTACCGACAAGCTAATCTTCGACCGCTTCGTCTGGCCTGGGGTGCAAAAGGACCTCAAAGCGTGGACACGGGCTTGTATGGTCTGTCAACAAAGGAAGGTCCAGCGGCACTGCAAGGCCCCATTGGCAGCTTCTTCGGCCCTGGTGCAAAGTTCAGCCACGTTCACTTGGTCATCGAGGGCCCCTGCCTCTGTCCAATGGTTGTTCCTATCTCCTCACCTGTGTGGATCGGTTTACTCGGTGGCCTGAAGCTATCCCCCTGCCTGACACTGCTGCTCCAACGGTGGTCAAGGCTACCCTCAGTCGTCGGGTTGCCATCTTTGGTGTGCCCTCCACTGTCACGACTGACCGCGATGCCCAGTTTGAGTTTAACCTCTTCCAGTCCCTCCTCCCCTTTTTAGGCTGTACCCAAATCCGGACGACAGTCTATCATCCGGTTACCAACGGGGTGGTCGAGCGTTTTCATTGCCAGTTGAAAACCTCAATACGCGCCGCGGAGGATCCGGAGAATTGGACAGATAATCTTCCCTTGGTCCTCTTGGGTATCCGCTCCGCTGTCAAGCTGGACCTTGACTATTCCGCAGCTGACCTGGCCTTTGACGCCACCGTCCGCCTGCCCGGTGAGATCATCTCACCAATCCCGCCAGCGCCTTTGGCCAGTTGGAGAGCTGAGTGGGCGAATGCCAGACAGCCCTGGTGCGCGAGCTCGGACACTCGCGAGAGGCCCAGTGTTGAGTCAGGCGCTCGGAGTAGGGCCACTACAGACCTAATACGACCGTCACGTGAACCCACAACTGGGCACCCCTACATCCCTATAGCAATATAATAAAAAATATCGCCGGCAAATGAGCTTGAGCTTCCGCTGCACATACAGGTCGTGAGCGTGACTGCCCAGTCATCCTCGTCCTCTGACTCGTTGTGTTGCTGTTGTTGTTGGTTAGAATCCTGTTCAAGAGTTTGTTGTGGACCAGGGGGTGTGGTGGTACGTCTAGGCGCGGAACCGGTCGTACCAGCCACTTGCACCCTCCCTCACCTCCGGTCTTCTTGGCTTCGTTCTGACACCGAGTTCAGGTGGGGAGGGGGAGCGAGTGCAGAAGATGCTGTGCAGTTATATTCTCATTATAAACTAATTCGCGTGCAAGTCACCGTGCCTGCTCTCACCTTGCTGTGAATCACACGCTGGACACCGTCAGATATGATGGTCGAACTATCATACGCAACCATCCCACGCTTCTCCATACATTTTCAACTCCGTTCAAAATGCTTCCGGCCCATCTAGAATTACACTGAACAGAAAGTATTTTAAGAAGGCATTCGCAAATCTTTTCTTTTTCGACAGCCATATCAGATAAGTATATTCTCTGATGAGTTATTGAACCGACGTCTCTTCAGCACTTATGGCGTAGTGGTTTTAGTATCCAATCATACATTTCATCATGTTTCGGGACCTCTGTCGAAATATATGTCTGTCGTAATATACGTGATTTGCCCATCCTTGCTTTCCGGACTTCTTAAAATATTTAAATGGCAGGCATTCAAAGAACTATAATTTGAAACCAAAAGGTTCATTAGGAAAAGTTAGGATTATATCAGTGGAATTTCGACATCGGTTCTCCGGGTCGTCGTGAAGCTTGAGGAAATGTACAAAAATAGTCAACATTTCAAACAGGCTCAAAAATCATGACATCTCCGGCACTTCTGCCAGCAGGCGTCCGCCGCACATATTATTGTGTATCGATCAGTTTCCGTCTCTTCTATTTTTCCTAGGGATTTTCGTATATGGCCTCTTATACAACATGCCGATTAATGCATGACTCATCCGAGTACGTGGCTTCAAGAAAATTTCGCCCTTTTTTGGTAGGGCAGACCTCGACGATGCGCGTCTTGTCTCATGTCCCGACGAAGAAAGCTACGGGACAGTACTAAACTATCTGTTCGGACTATTTTACCGACATGATTACCCTATATATTTTGTATGTCGATGTATGAGAAAACAAGAGTCAAAAGAGAAGGAACTGGATAGTTCCAAGCAGTCGACCAAGGAAAGTGCTCGGCGAACCTTTCCTTACATCAAAAATGTGTGTGAAATCGTTGAAAGACACCTAAGGGAACATCGAATACAAGTCGCGCACAGACCGCCGACTACGTTACTCTGTCAGCTTGTACACCGTAAGGATAGAATTGGATGTCTGAAGAAGACGACGAGTTGGCGAGCATACGTTGCTTTCGATAAATTCTCTTCAGGCCAAACGGAATACAGTCGAACATGCCAGTGATTGAAAAATCGATAAAAATTAGTTTTAAAACATAGGCGGGACGAGAGCGGGAGGGCGCAGAAAGTTGCATGTGGCTAGTTAACCTTTGACCACGGTAAGCGTGGAGATTGAACGAGGTTCTTCTGAAAGGAAAGGATTGGTTTTTGTAACCTAATTGCAGCTGCTTCTGCTGTTGCTAACAGGCGCTGGCCCAGTAGCTTAGGATAGCTCGAGGGGCCTTGTATTCTTCTGGAGAGACGCCGACTCGTACGCGTTCAATACGCTAGACGGGAGGAGCAACGATTCTAATTCCGTCTCATTTTGTTTTTGACGCTTAAGTGAAATGTCCTATCATTTGAGTTACGGTCCCACGTTCCGTCGGCTGTGATTAGAATAGTCCAGGTCACGTGACATTCCCCTTTCGCCGATGTGACTACAGGAAAGAATACGCCGTCCCACTTTTATTTGTGGCCTTGTGCTAGAGATTTTTCTGTCGATAGCACAAAGCTGGAAAGGTAAAAAGGATACTAAGCTAGGCACAGCGGACCGAAGAGGTTATATGTTTCTTATTTTCCATTATCAGCTGAATGTATTTAAATTCCAGACTAGGGGGACCTGGGATTTAAATCCGCATCCATCTGGCCAGCAGGCATCCGAGTAAAACCCCTCCCACGTAAGCACTAGTGCAAAAGGGAATGTAATAGCACGTTTCTTTCCGGAAGTATACTACCAGAAATAGCGTCCCCTCATGACTCCCACCTTTCACTTTGTTTCAGTTTCGCTCTGAGAGTTTAGTCACGTTTTTGTTGTCTTAGCTCTAGAAAAACTCACCCGCCCAACGGCCTACATTCATTTCTACTAGGCCTTCTGTCTGTCAGCAAGCAACGTCAGTTTTATTAGTTCGTCATCATCTCTGTTGACACTCTCCACCATCGTCTGCTAATCCAATGGCGCAGTCAATTTTCGTTGGATTGTAGGCTCTTTCATTACCTCACTTCTTGTTCCACGTCGACCACTGACGATTTAAACCCACCCCCAGGGATGTTACTGACACAATCACTGTGCCACACAGGATATCCTGCATTTTAGGTTTTTGCTTTTCGGCAGCGTTTTCCGGACGTGGGCGCATAGCCTGCGATGCAATTGATTATGATGGCCACTTTCATAGCAAACGCGCTTTCCGTCAATTCTTGCGCACAACTCAAAATGGCTATAGCACCTTGAGACTCGCAGTTTAAAAGATCTCCATTTGAAGTACTCTCAATTTTATGTTAATCTTTTTGCATGTCTGCTGGACCTTGTTGCGACTATCAACGGGAAAGTGTAGCTATTTAGGAGGGGTGCAAATGTGTCTTCATAACTAAAACATATTCATATGGAAAGTAGTATAACCAACAGTTCTAGAGTGCACTAGTAGTATTTTAATGATATTATTATCTTGTTCCCATATCTGTGATGGATAATCCGCTATCCCAAAGGGCACAGGAGGTCACGATGGGGCTGCTGAATGCGAGCACGCAGGCGGAAATGCGGTTAGTAAGGAATGTTTACACCGTTCATGCTGTATGCTTTTTAAAATCACTCGTGCATAGGCTATCAAATTATCCTAACTTGCGGTGCACAAAGGGTAGTCTAAAACGTCTTCTACGAAAATTCGAACTTTCATACCACTACATTGACTAATGGTTGGAGAATGGTCAACCTGTTTACATTTTAAAATCCAAGTCATTCCCCTTGTATAAGCATAGGGAAGCTAGAACTCTCCACTGACAAGACGTATATCCTAAAGCAAACTATGCAAAATAGGAAAGACACATAGCCGGAAAACGATTTTTGTAAGCCGCTTTAACTTGGTGGGTTCCCTGTCATTACTTTATCCTGGTGATATGTTACACTTAGAGACTGGGTCAAACAACTGGCGTAATGCACAGAGCTCAGTTGTAAGCAAAATATTGACTGACAAGCAACCTTCCCCAGTGGAAGATTGATGTACGGCGCTCTAAAATCCAAACCCGACATTTAGATATGATCCATTTTAAAAAATAGCCCGCACGCGTGCGCTAACTTCGGGTAGTTTATTTACCAATATCTCGGAAGAACATTCATATTTTTTTAATTAGACTTGAAGATTGATTGGGAAATTTGACCTGTCATTTAATAATGCACCATCTGCCTAAAGTAATAGGACTGTATTTTCGAATATGCGGTTGTATGTGTCCTTCTGTTTGTACCAAATTCGCATGTGAACATGTGTCGCAAACAGTATGCGTTACAGTATTTCAAACGCAAATGCAACCCCATTCTTTGTAATTTGCCACACATATCGCAGCCATCGTGGAACAGTATTTCTAAAGACGGAAAAACACTGCAGGGGCGATTGGCCTAGTACAAATCTTATAATGCGTATTTGTATAAAGTGTGGCCCTAAACGTGCACGCCCTTCAAACCGTACTATTTGAAATCCTGCACATCTAAGCCCCAGTAGTGAATAAGACGGAACGCCCACGATCGTGATTAGCTAGTCTGCGATGACAAGGAAAAAAGAGACAATGGATCGCTAAAGTGCAGCAACGATTGTTCTAATGTTCTATCCAAACTGGCAAACCGTTTGTGGGAATAAATAAGGAAATTTTATAAATTTATTTTAGATTGGGCGACCATGGATGCGTAATCTATGCATTGTAAATGAACTAGGGGTGAAAACGTGAAAGGGTTCCCTGAGCAGTATTTTTACTTGTGGTAATGGTACGTGTGAAGCAATGCCGGTCTACAAAGAGAAGGCATTTGGCGTACACTAGCCGACTGAGCATATGCAATTTCAAACGAAGCAGCGTGAGATTTTCACATTTGCAAAACGTTATATTCCCATATATCTGTCGAGGTGGCATCGGTCGACAACACAAAGATCCCCAAATCAGAAATCAGGGAAGACGGATTTGGTTGGACAACTTTACTGACTTGTAAAAGCGCACAAGAGGTTCTGCAAGCAGTTGCCGCAAGTTCTCTCCAGACAAGTTGTTTTGTCTGTGTCCGTCGTTGAGGCTATTAGGCCCCAACTTTGTCTCGGCCAGTGCCCGCCAGCTAATTAGAGAAGGGGCAGCGTTGATTGGATCCGAGCTCTCGCGAGGCTAGTGATAAGCCTTCCGCAGCCACAGCAGCGAATCGAGAGGGAGTGTGAGGTGGACGGAAGGCCAACCTGACAAATCGGCGGAGGGCAACGAAGCACGAGATACCACAAACGAACATTCCAGGCTGCCAAAGTGAGTGCTCACGCTAGCAGCCCGTAGGGTACGGAAGTGGTCTACGGGAGGGGGTCACTGTTGTTTTTTTGACTGTTTCGACCGCGAGTTTTGCATCAGCGAGCCGCAGTCAGCGTGCAAATGGCGTGATTTCCCAGTACTTGTTAAGAGCATCTTTTATAGCTCTTTGCCCAGCAGGGGGCAAGCAGCGCCGTCCCTAAATAGGGCTGCTTGGACATCCCAGGCGGCCAGGCTCGGCTATAAATGGCGACCTGAATTAGCCTGGATCGCCTGTGGGACTTCATATCATCCTCTCCGTAGGACCTCTGAAG